ACTCTCAAAAGTGATGACGTGCAAAATACATTACGTGGTCGGCCTGGTGCTGATGGACAGATGAAGATGTTAGGCGCTAAAAGGTGCTTCCCCGCACTGCATGGCCTCCACGCATTTCTGTGTGTGGCTCACCCTGAAACTGTGGGCTGTCTGAGTTTGAGAGCTTTGGCTTTATTACATGCTGGTTTTAATATGCATCTGCTTTATTTTACTATTTTATATGACTATGTTGATTTTTTCAAGAGGGAGAAAAATAAGTTCTTAGGGAAAAAATTCTTCACATGGATCTGTGAATCGGTTTATAACCACCACAAAAACAAAAGAACGTTACAGTGTCATTTCGCTGTTCATGAAGTAAAACCTGCCATGAAACTGATGGGACATTCCTAGGTTGGGAAAAACAATCCTGGGGTCTCTGAACTGAGCTGCCGGTTATAGGGACCTCCAGCACAGGAAGCCTTCAAGGTGGACAGGACGTCGGGGAGCTCCTCTTTCCTGACGCCCCCCAGGTCTCCAGCCCCTGGTCTGATGCCCAGCACAAGGACATTTCTTAAGAAACATCTCATGCAGGCTTCCCTGGTGGCCCAGTGGTTAAGAACTCCCCCGCCCATGCAGGGGACACTGGTTCGATCCCTGGTGAGGGAAGACCCCACGTGCCTCGGAGCCACTGGGCACTTGCGCCATGATGACTGAAGTCTGTGTGCCCTAGAGCCCGTCCTCTGCAACAAGAGGAGCCACTGTAATGAGAAGCCTGGGAACGGCAACTAGAGTAGCCCCTGCTCAACTAGAGAAAGTGGGTGTGCAGCAGTGAAGACTTGGCATAGTTAAAAAAAAAAAAAAGAAATCACTGCATCCAACTTCCAAACATTTAGGGTTTCAAACATGAGTATGTCACAATCTATTCTTATCAAGCTCACTGAAAAGCAACTCTTCTGTTGTTTCCAGCACCTTGCAGGGCCCTCTCTATGAGGAAGAATTCATAAAGGGAATAGCTAACGTTCTTCCCAAACAACTGGCTTGTTTCTATGTTGTCTATAAAAAGACTGCTGACTCCGGACCAAACCTGGAATCTCCCTTTCATGAAAGCAAAACTTCACCCACAGCTGCACCCTACTCTGCTATCCTGTATTTTCATTCACTTCTGCTCTTCCCCTTCCATTTTCACTTTGCTACATGTGTTTTCAGAGTTATCTTAAATCTTTCTCGAATAAGTGGAAGAGAAATGAATAAGTTCTCAGACATCTATAAACATCTAAAAAAAATGATAAGAAAAAAAGGGGAGGGGGGGAGAGGACACCATCACCTGGGACCAAAGTAAAAGATTTTCAGGAGCAAGAAGATGTTCTTTAAAAGAAAACTAAGTCACTAGAAGTTCTGATAAGGAAACTCAGGAACATTCGAAAGCATAGTATGAGTCAGTGAGAGTGTTAGTTGCTCAGTCGTGTCTGACTCTGTGATCCCATGGATTGTAGCCCACCAGGCTCCTCTGTGCATGGGACTGATACTCCAGGCAAGAAAACTGGAATGCATTACCATTCCCTTCTCCAGGGGATCTTTCCAACCCAAGAATTGAACCCAGGTTCTCCTGAATTGCAGGCAGATTCTTTACCATCTGAGTCACAGGGAAGTCCTTGTGAAGCACTCAGAGGAAGGCTTGTGAGCCCTCAGAAAAGACGGTGGCCACTTGGGAAGCTTCTCAAGAGTGTGCTGAATTAACCCCAAGCCTGTATTTTTTCTTATTATGGGAGTAACATGTGTTATCATAGAAAAGTAAGACACTGCAAAGAAACAAAAAGAAGAGCTGGAAAACCCAGTGAAAACCACTGTGAACATCTTGGTGTATACATTTCCAGGTCTGTGGCTATATCCCTTAAAATGAGATCACAATGCACACTCTGGTTGTCACTTAGCAGTATTCACGCACACCTTTTTATCTAAATAAAAAATTTGTTTGATGCTTGAGAAGTTAAGGCCACTGTATGGAGGTTTCATAATTTAACCGACTTGCCTTTGTTTTAGACATTTAGGATATCTACCCCCCACCTCTTTTTTTGAATTATTACATTTAAAAAGCAGCAGTGCTCGCCCTTGCGGATAAATCTTTTTTTGCACATCTGTAAGCATTTTCCAGAGGAAATTCCTGGAAGAGGAAGTGTGAGGATCAAAGTTGTGCTTTGTGGCCATTCTGATGAGGGTAATAGCTGGCAGAGAAAGGAGTAAGCGTCTCAGGATTTTAGCACAGAGGCTGTAGAAGTTCCTCACCCCAATTCTGTGGGCAGGAGAGAGCTACCCACGGGCTGGATGGTGGAGAACAGTTGGCACGCATCGCTGATGGGATGCATGGTACCCCAAATGACTGGGCAGATATGAATGTACAGCGAGACAGCATGGCTGAACACAGGAGGACCTTGCGGAGATAGGCTGGGCTGCTCGGAGGTGGTGGCCCCAGGTGCTGGAGGGCTCAAATAGCATTTAGGATGCTCGCCTCCCTGAGATGTCATAAAGGGTATTTCTGGGCAAGGTAGACATGGGCTAAAAGCTTTTCTTCCTCCCTCCCTTCCTCTCAGTGTTTCAGGAGCACCTCTGTGTGCCGGGGACAGAGCTACACATGGTCCGCACCAGACCCCCCAGCAGTGTCACTCCGCTGCAGGCAGGACACAGACGAACTGTCTCAGTGAAAGTACAGAGGGGAGATCGTAACAGTACGCCCTTGGGAAAATACGCAAAAGTAAATATTACTTTAATAACCTCATGTACAAATGAAATGTGGGCTGCTTTTCAAATTTCTAATTACCTTGTTTGGAAATCTACTTATCTTAAGAAGGGACTGCAAATGAAGGGAGCGGTAATCAAGTGTTTTCAGGAAAGACCCAGGGCAGACCAGGAGTTTGAACCAAAGGCTCAGGGCCTGAGGTCTGCAGCGAACGTGTGCAGGGCTGGTTTGGAAGGAGAACAGCGTGGTGGCTCAATCCGTTACCAGCAGGGCCCCAGCCATCATGGCAGCAGGCACAGGGCACAGGCTGGGCCTGGGGCACCCGTTACCGTGACTGTTTCTGGAAGAAACCTTTGAAATCCTAACTTCGCAATACCAAACTGAGACGTGCCATTCGGTGCCAAACACTGTTGGGACGGGGGGTGATGGGGGAAGGGTGTCTCTGCTTCCCCCTAGCCAGATCGGCTCGCAGGCAGGCTGCTGGTGGGCGGGCAGGCGGGCAGGCTTCCCAGCTGCACCACGGTTGCCCAGTGCTGAGCTTGCAGGCCTTACGGAGCCAGCGGGCCCTGCGGGGCATGCCTGGCAGCCTCACAATGAAGCAATCCTGGACCCTGGCGGAGCAATTTGGGGCCTGCAGCCGCTGAGGAAGCCCGAGCTGCCTGCTGCTGTGGGTTGCGGCCTAAACTACCTCTGTTTGGAAGATAAAATCCAATTGACTGCCACTTACATAAATGTAACAGGAAGTTCCAGAATGGTTTCCCCTGTGCCTTGAGGCTGTTACCCCGGTACTGCTAAACTAACAGCTGAAATGAACCCAGACAACACCTCATCAAAGCTGCGGGGCGAGGAGGCAGCAGTCCAGGGGCAGACAGGAACATTCCTGCCAAACCAGAGATTTCACTCCGTGGGCCCTTCTCTGCAGAAACGTCAACAGCTGGGGAAGCCATCAGAGCACCCAGGTGAGGTGGGGGCAGCCAGACCCTGTGGCTGGAAAAAGATTTGCAAGCTGGAGGGGGGAAAAGGCATCTGCTTTGGCTGAGCCGCCTATATGTGCATTCGGAGCGGGATTTCACCCCAGTGGATTTCACAGGCCTGTTTTGCACCACTCTGCCACTAAGCATCTGGGGAAATATTCAGCTTTTCTACAAAATAGGTCATCTTTCCACACTTGTTATGCTCCTTGTCGCCTCTGCTGAAATAGCCAGAGCACAGAAGAAATTCTCCCTGGAGACGCTGCTCGCAGACAACACGTGCCTGCTCCCCTTGGGGACTCAGCTGCTGGCGTGGGGCCAGGACGAGGGCTGTGGGGACCTCCCTGTCGCTCCCCTTTCCCAGCAGGAGTGCCACCCAGAAATGGAACAACTGGCCTTTGCTTATCCTTCCAAACCTATTAGGGAGCGATCATAACAAGAAAAACTAATACTGACACGAATTATACCATTGTTCTAGTTCATCTATTTAGTACCCTGAAGTTGCAATTTTTAGAAAAAAAGATTACCTTTCAAATAACCGGTTCATTATGGTACATGAATGAATGCCATGTTCCCGTGTTCAAAATGTCACTCACCATTAGGGGCATGCTCTGGTAAGTGGCACCAATGTGCCATTTCCCCCGATACACCAAGGCCCCCAACTGGAGGCCCCCGTATAATCGGAGTCAAGTTCGTGGGTTTCCTCAACTCTTAGCAAGTCACCTGCACTGCCCGCCACCTAATGAATCTCAATTCCGTAATAAGGCTTTGTAAGTTTTTCCCCTTCTGAGTGAAGGTGAAAAAGAAAACTGGGACTGATGAAGTTCCTGCCAAGGTAACACTATCCATTTCAAGGTCGAGTTCGGAAATCACAGACTCATTATGACAGAGGTGGGGGTGGTGGGTTGGGGGGAGGCCGCCCGTGTACCCTCTGGTCGCAAACCTGGTCTTGAGAAATGAGAGGTGAGGACAGACGTGGACAGGAGGGCAGGCGGCAATGGGCCTCGGGTCTGCACGGTCCCCGGTCCCTGTGGGGAACCTGGCTTGGACCTGGCAGGTGAACAATGTGGTCACTATTCTCCGGAAACCTCCCTTCAAGCTTGCGAAACCCACACACTGTTTTTCATCATTAGTTTCAAAACATGCTGAGGATCTGGCCCGTCACTACGTGCTGCGGTGACACGGAGGAAAGGGGAGGCCTGGGCCCTGCGGGGAGCAGGCCCCTTGCAGGGGGAGAGCGACCAGCGAGATGCACAGCGGCGGGCGGTGCCCGGGACACAGAGGTGCTCGCTGGCCCTTGGCAGGGGCCCACCTACCTGAGATGGCATAGAGATTGGAGTGCTGGTATTCATAGTCAGCCCGAGTGCTGTTCCTGCCTCGGAAGGTAGCGGGGAGCGTGAGAGAGATGTGCCTGAGGAGGACAGAGGAGAAAAAAGGAAGTTATTGGGAGCATGGTGCAGTCCCCGAGGCTCAGAAAGCACAGGCGCCACCATCAGCCCACAGCACACAGCAGAGCAGGCCTCCATCTACCCAAGCAGCTCGAGTTCCCCAAGGAGTTGAGAAGGTTCTGGACATCAGCAGCTACCTTTTCCCTACGGGGAAGGACATCCAGGAGGAAGAAAGGGTTTCCCAAGCCTTACGTGATGTCTCAGGTGCCTGGAGGAGGTGGGTGACTTAACCCTGATCTCTGCTCACTGGGCAAAGCGCGCCAAGGGGACCAGGCTGCTCAGCTCTGAACACAAGCCTCGGTTTGTCCCGTCGTCTTGGTCCCGTTATCCACCCAGTGGCTTCCACGCCTGTCCCGGGAAGCACTTGGTGAAGGAAGATGTTAGGGGTTATTACCAGGTGAGCCCAGGAAACGAGGCCCACTGAGAATCAGAATAGCATGCTCCTCTGAACTGCTGTGAGCGGCACACGTCCCCCTCAGGTGGGAGCACACAGCAGATGCTCAGAAAGCACCATCAATTGACCCAGTGCGTCTTTTATGGCGCAGGTGTTGGCCATTAAGGCTCACAATGCCCAGAGCCTGAGTGTGTCCTCGTTCAAAGCACATAATCCATTTGGTGTGATCAGCTGCCTTTTAATGAATGCTGAGAAGACAAGACAACGATAATAGGAAAGACACTTAAAACCCAACAGGTCTGCGGCACACAGACCTTCACCCCTTCATGGTACGACTGGGGCCGGTCTGAAGTTGCTCAGCGGCTTGAGCTCCAGGCACACAGTCGTTCCCCAAACAGGAGAGACTGGGATGGAGGGTACAGATCAAATAAAGGAAGCTGACGTTCCACACGCGGCCCTTTTTATACAACAAACGCATAGTCTTCTAGAACAGCTCTGGGAGGCAGGCTCTCTGGGTGGGGCCTGTTCCCACAGGGCCAGGAGGAGAGCCATGGGCTGTAAGTGAGGTGGCTGAGCTGTGGGGTGAGCCCTGATGGTGAACACCAGTGCCATTGGGCCGGCCGCTGGAGCAGGCGGTGGGACCTTGCTGGGCGCGGGGGGACCAGTGACACATCACGTGAGGGGAGTGTCCACAGGGCACTGGGATGCGTGTGCTGTAAACTTGCACTGCCGACTCCTTCCTGATGAAAGGGAGATGCAGAGGCGAGCTCTTCCCACAAGGAGCTCCAGGCTACAGGGGACAGAGGGGCTGGAACAAACTGGGGTGCACCAGGAGATGTGGTCCAAGGAGGATAAAATCTGTGCAGTCAGCCTGAAAGCGGGGGCACAGGGCTTCTGGTGACAGCCCCTCCGAGTTGGATGTGGGTTACAGGAGACAGGACCTAACCTACGTACAGGCAGTCAGGGGGCCACTTTGCTGCAGGGCTAGAGTGGGAAACAAAGCCACAGCCAGACTGGAAAGGGTGCCAGAAGCCACACTATGGGCTTTGGGATCTATCTGCTTGGATGAAGGTTCTCGAACTCGGTTCTGCCCACTGGAGCGCAGAGGCAGTACTCGAGGCACCTGGGAGCTCGCTAACAACAGACTCAGCTCCCCGACCTGGGGAGTCTGCTCAGAGGCCTGAGGCAGGGTAGGGGGTGCAGCCCAGAAATCCCTGGAACCAGGCCAGCAGTGACTCTGAGGATGGGCTGCTTTGGGAACCCTGGGAGGGGGAGGAGAGCTGCAGAGGGTTGAAGCAGGTGATCGATGCCTCTGACCGCAGCACTCAGTCAGCAGAGCTGAGCAAACAGAAGAATAAATTACTGACTGTGGTTGTGGTTGAGCAGAGCTAAAACAATGACAGGCAGCCCTGTGGAGAGGGTCGGCCGGCCCTGAGTGGGGGCCTCGGGGTCTGCAGATCCCCAGGTTCTCTCCTGGCTCTGCATACCGGCCCTGCAAGGAGGAACCCAGCCTGGTGTAGCGTGAAAACGTGGGGACCTGGGTCGAATATCTTCAAGCATTTCAAGATGGCAATAGCAGAGCCTTGAACCCAGAGTGGGGTCCTCCAGAACGGGGGCCTGTGTGATGCACTGGCTGCACACTCGTGGTGTGCCCCACGTGCCAGCGCTGCACCCACTGTACCCCGAGGGCTTTTCCAGGAGCCGGGGAAGAACTGAGTTTCAGCACTGCCATGCCCTGAGACCGCTGAGCCCCGAAAGCCCTAAGAAGGTATGCCCCACCAACTAAGGACACAAATGCTGGCACAGTATGGCAGCACTCCAGCAGGCTTGCAGAGGAGGCAGGTGTTGGCGGAACCTCAGAAAACAGGCCGACCTGGGTGACAGCACGTGGGGGGAGCCTCCTCTTTGGCTGAGAAGACAGAGCAAGATCAGCCAGCCAGCCGTCAGAGATGGCCAAGGGAGCCCTGGCCCAGTCAACCCAGACATGGGGAGGGGGGACTCAGGGTGGCAGAACACACAGGGCCCTGCTTTTGCAGAGCTCCCCCACTGCAGATGGTGACCGCAGCCATGAAATTAAAAGACGCTTACTCCTTGGAAGGAAAGTTATGACCAACCTAGACAGCATATTAAAAAGCAGAGACATTACTTTGCCAACAAAGGTCCGTCTTGTCAAGGCTATGGTTTTTCCAGTAGTCATGTTATGGACGTGAGAGTTGGGCTATAAAGAAAGCTGAGCGCCAAAGAATGGATGCTTTTGAACTGTGGTGTTGGAGAAGACTCTTGAGAGTCCCTTGGACTGCAAGGAGATCCAACCAGTCCATCCTAAAGGAAATCAGTCCTGAATATTCACTGGAAGCACTGATGTTGAAGCTGAAACTCCAATGCCTTGGCCACCTGATGTGAAGAGCTGACTCATTTGAAAAGACTGTGATGTTGGGAAAGATTGAAGGCAAGAGGAGAAGGGGACGACAGAGGATGAGATGGTTGGAAGGCATCACTGACTCAATGGACATGAGTTTGAGTAAACTGCGGGAGTTGGTGATGGACAGGGAGGCCTGGCATGCTGCAGTCTACAGGGTTGCAAAGAGTCAGACATGACTGAGCGACTGGACTGAACTGAACCCTGTAGGAGGAGATAGGAACAGGTCCACCAGGTTATAGGAGCCGTGGCTGATGTGGCGTGAACAGGAAGACTCTCCGGGCTCCCCCAGGAAGTGCTGTTCCCGCTGGGAGCTGGGGATGGTGGGCAAGGAGGGGCTCTGGGGTAACTCCTAAGCAGCAGGAGGTCTGGCCGGTGCGGGGGGGGCGCTTGGAAGGAGGTGGGTTGGCTAGGGCCTGAAGGCCTGGGGGACGGTGGGGGACTCGGCTGGAGACAGCACTTTAGGGTCACTGCACGCAGGTCCTTGTACAAGTTCTACCTTTATCCTGAAGGGTTTTTTTAAGCTGAGAAGGGATAAGCTCCAGTTAACAACTTTAAAAGATTACCTCCCTGTGGGAAAGTGATGTACTGAGATGTACTGTAGACGGGAAAATGGGGATGATCATGGAACTGCAAGCAGTTAGGCAGCACCTACTGTGTGCAGACTCAGTGCTTCCCACCCAAATCTCCTGCTGTGATCCTCTAAACAGACAGTTCCAGGGGGATTCTATGACCCATGGAACTTAAGAAGTGTAGATCAGAGAACCAAGCTGCCTGGCTCCACAGCTGCCCCATCATCCACGAGGACGTCCCCGTCCAAACCTTCCTGCCTTTCAACGGCATCAGGTCTTGCCTGGCTGACTGCACCCTGCAGACCGCACCTCCCTTCCCCTTCGCCTGCACCCTGGGACCTGGTTCTCTTCCTCCCTCGCAGCTGGCCCCGGCTGGCTCCTCCTCCACTTTGTGGGCTGCTGTTGGCAAGGTTCTGGTATAGCTCTCTTCTCGCTCCACGCACTTTCCCTGGGCAGCCTGACCACCACCTGTGCCCTGGTCTGAGCCGTCCTCACACACTAGCCCCCTCTCCAGACACTCCTGTCACTCCTGCCTCCACCAGGAAGCGTGAAAGTCTTGTGATTCTCTGGGTCTGCCTTGGCCTGATCCTTCATCCACTCTGCTCCCTCCTCCTACGGTCTCCACCTGCTCCTCACCTCCTCTCCAAACTCCTGTTGGTACTTCGAGACTCCATCTGAGCATCCTCGTTTGATAAAAACCCTTCCTGGGCTCGTCCCGGGTGGGAATGGATGCCTGTATGTCCTCTCTCACCCTGGTTGTCCCAAGACACCTCAAGGGCAGGGCCAACTCTCATCAAGATGGTACCCCATTTTCTAGGACAGGTTCTTCCCCAGGGCAGACGATCACTGAACAATTAAGAGTGCTGAACTGACTCCACTAAAACCCCTGTGTCTTTTTGGACAGGAAATGCTGTTGCCTCTGCTATTGCATTTCTGCCTGTGGGCTTGCTCAGTTAGACTCAGGGGTCTCTAGGAGACCCAATACACCACACACCCCACTCCCCATCACTACAGAGGAAAACAAATCAGACGTAAGAAGTCAGTGATGGCAGTGACCAGGAATTCACAAGGGAAAAAAAGGAAAGAAAAGGTTCTGATCACTATACGACAGACAGACAATGTGGGGCTGATGCAGTTAGGTGGGAAATTCCAAGAGAATTCAAGTCACAGGCCTGTTTCTTTTAGAGGCTAACTGCTCAACAGGAATCTGTCCAACTGAAGCCAAGTCACCAAAAGCTTCAGCTCTGGTGGCTGATGGGGTGGTGGGGGGGGTGTAGAGCAGCAATCTGAGCAGCAGGAAGACTCCCGGCCAGAGAGGGCTGAAGGGAGGAGACCCCACACAACAAACAGCTGCTTTGGCATCATCACTTCTCTGGTTACTGGACATGGGGAGGAAGGGACATGGGGATAGGAGGCACATCAGGGTCTCCTGTTAATGAGAGTGGACAGTTCGGGCTGAGGGGACAGGGCACCCGAGGTTTAAATCGAATGAAGGGGGAGTGACCCAGGGGCTTGGTGTCGGATCAGCCGGGAAGTGAGGATGGGCAGGACTGGCCCAGTGGTCAGCTGAACCTCAGA